GGCGACCTGTGCTTGGAGCCCCGGCTGAAGCCCGAGCCCCAGCTCGCCTAGTCCTGGCTCTCGCCTGGTTCCGCTTCGCTCCAGCCAGACCCAGCTCGACCCAGCTCGTCCTATCTTTGCCGCAGCGTGGTGAGACAATTCCGGCTACCCCAGCTTATAGGAGGAAGTATAATCCTGTCTTACCTGCACACAAATCGCGACCCTATACGGGAACAGTGTCGGGCATATTTCCTCCTCCTTCCCTCACTTAAATAAGTAAATAAGGTGTGTAACTAAGGTGTTCCCATATATATTTAATGTGTTTTAATCACTCCTTTTGAACCTCCTGCCCCAAATTGCTTTGTTTTCCCCACAATAAACCGTGCATTTCGTAAATTCTAATTGGGGATTGGCTGCTGTTATTAGAAATATTAGTAAGCACTGAGCAAGTTATTCACTTGAAAAGTCAGGGCCAAAGCCCCTGTCTCCGTGTGACGCGATACCCATGTGCGGACCTCTTCAGCAAATCCTGATAAGCTTAATACACTCCAAAAAGGAGGTATAATAGGTCGCGGATCGCGACATTAATTTCTGGTGTCAGAAGCGTTAGCTGGGGAGTATCTTGTCGTGCTTAATGTGTTTCTAATAAGAATACAAACCAAATAAAGCATTTAAATAAAGGTAGGAGACATACTTTCCTTCAAATATTTTTTCAAGTATGTATTAGTGAAGAACACATTCAGCTAGATCTTTGACAACTTGTAACTACATAACTTGTATTCCTATAAAGTATTAGAATCGTTTTGACCACAGACTCCTAGAGAATAAGGTAGGCTATTAGCTATCTGCTTGGCATTTCATGATTTCATAGCTGACACAGCCTCATTTGTCACCCAAAAATACAGCTTTAAAAAAAGTATTTGCAGCACTGTTTACAGACTGTTCCAAAGAAAGTTAAACTCACTTTTCTTTAGCTACAAAATATACGAGACAATTCCAGTCCTTATTTTAGAGTTTTCTGTTGTAAAAGCTGTACAAGTGAAAGACATCTCATTAGAGGCCAGTAATGGCAAAAACATTTTATGCTTTCCAAGACATTCTAAAAGTTCTGGTTTGAACACAGCTATATAGCCACAGAAAGGCCTACCTACTAGAGTAAGTATTTCAGGTAAGGAAAATAATGTAACTTTTAAAATAATTTAACTTTACTCCCTTTATTAGTATCTCCTTTGAGAGGCTCAAGCTGCTTTGCTATCTACAGGAGCTAGATAGCAGTCTTCCCCAATCCATAACCCATCTCTTCTTCAGCTTTTCTTTATGACTTGTGTTCTCTAACTGATAATTTTCACAAGCCTGCACTAAAGGCTCTACAGTTTCAGTTTCTTAAACTGGGGAACCAAAACAAACTACAGTATTCCGTCCAGCGGAATAACCACATCCCTTCATCTACTGGCTATGTTCTTGCTGACGCAGCCCAGGATACCATTTGCCTTTCTGCTATGGGACACACTGATGGCTTATGCTCAGCTTGCCATCTTACTAGGACTTCCATGTCTTTTTCAGCAGGGCCATCCCCCAGCCAGTCAGACACCAGAATGAACTGTTGCTTAGAACTAATCCATTCAAGATAAGCCTTAACATCTGCTTAAACCTGATGTCATTCTTGCTGGCCCAATCTTCTCACCTGCCAATATCTCTATGATGGCTCTTCATTCTGTTGTATACAATTCTCTCAGTTTGATAAGATTCTCAAGTTTGATTGCTATATATTCAATCCCATCATCCATATAATTTATGAAGACTAAGTAGTATTGAGCCAATACTGACTGTAAAGACCTCACTCAGGTCTGGTTGCTAGTAGCATTAACTTCAAAACTTAAGTAAAAATATAAACACCATCCAATTTTGTAACCAGAATGCAGGCTGCAATCTAACCAAGGTTCCTCTGCAGAACTCAAAGTATTTCCATCCAGAGCCAAAGACATTCAGTATGGAGAAATACATGTAATGAGAAACTGCTATGACAGTATGTCTACACAAATTTACAAATACAAGCTTAGAAGCAATTAGATTGCACCATTAAGCAGAGGCTTCCACCTGTTCTTCAAACAGCCACCATCAACTAACAGATAATTATTCACTCCACAGACAGGGTTAAGGAATAAAACTCAGAGTTCTAAATTTCCTAAATCTAAGTTTCTACAAAGCAAAGTGCCAAATCTCTAAGTGATGCATTGTTTTGCTGTTTTTGCAGATGTGCATTACATACTTGAACATCAAGCTTGCTCTAGTGATAAAGGCAGTTTAATCCCTTCTTCGAACATAAAATATGCTAATAGTGAGATGATTATGCAAGTAAGCCTCTCATCATTAGTGAGGGGAAAAAGCCACACTGGTCCTTCAAGACAAATACATAGAATGAAGGACATGAAGATGAATCATCTCACATGTCACAGGTCTGAATAGAAGCTGTATTATATATATATATTTATATTTAAACAAACATATTTTAGCTAATATTCCTTTCTTGAATCCCCACAAGTGATCCATACAAGATATAGAATCATAGAATATTCTGACATCATCCTGATCAGTTAGCTTAAGGGCTGGAAAGTAAAATCCAAAGAGCTCACTACCTATTAAGTACAAATTAAAGACACCATCCATGAGCAGCTGATTTGAAAGTCTGCCCACAGGCAATAGAGATAATAGCTGTGGAAGGATTAAGTTCATATTTATACTTTATAGATCTCTTGAAGTATGTGGCTTTC